TGCTCCTCTCTTCACCATAGAGTAGAGGAGACTGTACCCCCCCCCCCCCTCCAGATTTAAGTCGCCGGCCGCTGAGGCTGTCGGGAAAGCGGTGGCGTGCGTTGGCTTGGCTTGCCTTCGACCGTCCGCGGGGGTGGGCGAAGGGCGCGCGATTAGCGCAGAAGGGCGGCACGCGAGACAAGCGAGGGAGAACCCACTGGAGCATTTTAGCGGAGTCCGGTCGATTGAGAGCGAAGCAAGGCAGTGCGGCGGCTTCTTGGGCGCGATGGCGGGCGGGGGCAGCGCTGGCGAGTGGTGCCTCATGGAGAGCGACCCAGGCGTCTTCACGGAGCTCATCAAGGGCTTCGGTGAGGTTTGTGGCTGGATTGCCATCGCATCCCGCCCCCCACCTCCGAGGCGCGGGCTAAAAGGGAGCCAAAGGAGGGGAAACTGGCCAAAGCGTCAGATTCGACCTTCATGGGCTCGATTGGGTTCCGAGGATTTCCAGCATCCGTTTGCAAACGCCTCGTTGATTAAGGATGGATGTAGTTTCTGGCCATGTACAGAACGCGGTTCACTGGTTAACGATTTAGTCATTGGAACAACAATTCAGGAATAACCAGAGACATTGCCTAGGGCAAAAGCTATCTTGCTTATTTAGCATCTTGTGTGAGCCTACTCTTTTTCAAGGAGTGAGACATCCTCTGGACAAGATTATTTCCTCCCACGTGTAGAGAATCTTTTTTTTTTCCCCCCTTGGTGCATATGAGATTTGTTGTTTTTCTTTAGTTTTAAAATTGGTAGGAAATGGGGTATAGAAGTGGTAGTAACATTATTTTCATGGATCTAGAGAGAATTTTTTTTTATTGTTGGTAAATATAAATGGTTTATTTATGATGGAAGTCATGGGTATGTAATAAAAAGAAATAAATTATGGAAAGTGTAATAGGCATTGCCTTCCATTAATTTGAGAATGGGGAGAGAGATGCATACTTCAATTTGAATATGGCACAGCAGCTTTCCATAAAACTTATTTTCAAAAAAGAGCAACAGCCAGACTCTGTTTCTGTCAGTGCCCCTTCTGACATCCATTTGTAAATGTACACTGATTAGATCAGCCACTCATTTCCAGTTTTGTCTACAACATAGGATTTCCTAGTGGTCTCCCAATCAAATATTAACTAGGACCAAAGCTGCCCCCTTCTTCAAAAGCAGTCAAGATTGGCTGGTGGCTGTCATGTTAAATGCATTAAATCTTTATTTCAATTGTGTATCTATAATTAACATATAATGTAATGAATGCCGGAAAGTAAAATGTGTATGTGTCAGAATTTTGTGAGTGCAAACATGTAAGCCAGATGCTTGAAGAGCTAGATTGACTTGTAAGTCCTTTTTAAACTAATGCTAAGTTTTGCTCTTGGATTTTTCCCATATAAATTGGCCCTGGATAACTTCCAACCTATTCCTTAATTTTCAGGTTGCAGAGGAGCACAGGTTGAGGAGATATGGAGTTTGGAGCCTGAGAACTTTGAAAAATTAAAGTATGCTGCTTGTAGTTATTTACCTTTTGTTCCCTGTGTTCGTCCTTGGTGTATAAATTACGTTCTATATTTCCCGCCAATGGATAAAGGATATTTGCTCAGAGCTTTAGTCAAGCAATTCACATTATTGGAAAAAGAAATGAAGATACCTAATCCAATATAGTTATTTCTATGAATATATAGTTACATTCTGAGTTCTAGTGGGAAGGAGAAATTGAATTCTGCCAGAGATCTGTGAAATTATTTGCTGTGCCTGTTGCAAAATCTAAGTACTCCTTTGCCCAGTAAGGAGGTATGTGTTTCATGCAACACAGATAAAATATTCCTTAAAAGTATGATTCCCCCAAACATTTTTTAGAAGGCATCGTATTGTTTTCCTTTCCGCTGCTAATCAGTTACTGTTCTACACTTTAATTATAATACATATGTAAGTTAGCTTTGTTTCCTGGTCAGTATATATGTTTCAGTTTTCAACATATTTTGTGTTTTTCTTTATCTGTAGGCCAGTTCATGGACTGATATTTTTGTTCAAATGGCAACCAGGAGAAGAACCAGCTGGTTCTGTTGTTCAGGATTCCAGATTAGACACATTATTTTTTGCTAAACAGGTATGGTAAATTGAAAAACTCTGTATCTAGGACAATTTCTTTTTAAGCAAAGGAAATAAAAATTATCTTCTGAAATATTGTGATGAAACGGAAACATGGCAAACAAGTTCAGTGAAGTACTGATAAAAATCATTTTAACCTTGAACTAGAAATGTATATATTTTTATTTTTAACATTTAGTTTTATAAATAATGTGAATATATAATTGTAGTGTTACTAAAGATATGCCTGTATTTTCTGATTCTGATCATGGAAAATGCTTTGTGGTCTACAAAGCTATGTGTTCTTAGCTAGAAGGAAGTTTCTGAATTAATAAGTATATAATTAGCCTTTTTTTAGCAAATTTACAAACATATTTTTAAACTATGAAATTGTCCATATACATGTAGTCCTTGACTTACAACCACAATTGAGCCCAAAATTTATGTTGTTAACAGGCATGATATTCTTCCGATTAAAATCGGAATTCTGATTTTTTTGGGAATCGCCCCCTCCTTTCCCCCCACCCCTTCTTCTCCTCCTTCCCCTCCCCTCGGAGGCCCCGAATCAGGAGTTGCTGGCGCGGCTCCAGTCCCGCGTTGCCTCAGGAAGGGAAAGGCAAAAAGGAAGAGCTGTGGCGGCGCTTTGCAACGGCAGCAGCGGCTCCTGGTTTTGCCTTTCCCTTCCCGAGGCAACGCGGGACTGGAGCCGCGTGGAGG